CTAAACCCTGAACATCCCTGAACCCTTAAACCCCAAGGCCCCTCCACCTGGCACTGCACCACCTGCATCTTGATGTCTTGCGGAAGCTGGTTCATCAAGTTGGCCTCCTTTGCCTGGATCCGGCGCCGGTTGAACAGGTACTTCCTGAGCGCCAACTTTTGGCTTGGATGTGGCAGGTCTCTTTGTTGTATGATCACGTGAGTTGAAAAATCCGCACCCTTAGACTGTGCATGTAATGCCGTGACGTTGTCCCTTACAAACGATTGTTTCTAAATATCTGCACATAGATCGTATCGAATCCGGCTCAAGCAGTCTACAGCTGGCAAGCTTACATCTGCACTCGACCACGCAAGACATGCACACAGTTGCTTCAGTTCGGGATCCCGTGATGCGAAGGGCAGTTCACAGGCTCACCAACGAAGGAGCCGTGCTTTTGACCCTTTTGCATCTTGGACGGCTTCGCACTTCCAATGAGGGTGTTTTCACAGCATTCCACTGCTGTGTTTAACAGCCCCTTTCCGCAGGACCCTCACAAACACCTCTACTGAGAACCGAGAGGCAAGTAGGTCTTCACCCTCTCCTGCACCTGAGGACGGTTTCGGCTTCAACCCTGAATGTAATACTACACCCAAATATGCACTCGTGTTGGATTTCATCACTAGTTCATCTGGCTAAATTCCGCACATCTACCTTAAGGGACAACCTTGAGTCTTGAATCCACTTCAGACCCGCAAAGCCTCAAACCCGGAATGAAGGCATGGAGCCTGTTCGTTCACTTTGGAGTTCCTCAAGTGGAGGCGGACAGCCGCGAACTCTTCATGGAAAGCCCTTCGGCGCTCGGAGATCTTGAAGAATGCCTGGCTTTCAGAAGTCTCGGGACGGGACCGGACGGGACTGGGGACCAAAACCAGCTATCTGCATGGATCAGGCCCCTCCTGCGTGATCATGGAGATGCAGATAGCAAAAGCCGACAGAGCAAAGAACATGAAGATCAGCACGAAGACCTCAGCCAGCACCGGCTGCAAGGCGAAAACGGGGGGAACGTGGGCGGCCCGCGCACGATGCTGCTACTGCACCCGTGACTACTTGCCGTTCCGGAAGCACGCGCGACCCTTCGACAGCCATGGCCAAGCGACCCTCTCCGGCAGATTCACGGGCGTCACCTCTGCCGGCATCGTTCGCATCACGCCCAACCTCGACAATCTGGGGCAGCAGAAGCATAGCAGGGTGAGTTTCTGCTTTCACAGACTGGAAGTATGCGCACGATTTCTCGAAACATCCAAGCAACGTCCAGTAGAAGCAAAAGATATAGGTTTCCGACATGCTTCGATCCAGCCATCGCCAAGGTTCTGAGTCCACATCGTGCTTTCTCCACACGGTTGTCCAATGGGGCCCGGCAGTGTACCTGGGTAAGCTCCTATCTCTTTACCGCATAGGAGTAATATATCCTCAGTTCAAAGGATCCCTGTGTGGGGTAACCCTACACACTAAGAACCACTCATCTCCGGAACCGCTTGAGCCTTGAGCCTTGAGCCCCGCCTGCCTTTCTGGCAGCCATCGTCGACACACGCATGTGGCAAGGCTTTAGATAGAAACGTACGACGCCAAGAGAAGGATGGTACTCTGAGCAGCTGGCGGAGCCACTTCAAGGGCCCCCCATTCTACGTTTGTTCAGAGAGGAGCTGAAACAGTCCGAGGCACGAAGCTTGTGCATCGTCGGACATCAGCTCGGTGAAGAGGTTCGTGGGTAAACCAACGAGCCAGAACCTAAGACGCAAGAACTAAAGGTGGAAAGGCTCCAGAAGATGAAGAGAAAGCAAGCCCTAATTAAACGCTGCGAACCAAAAACCCTTTGTTGAGGGTTAACATTTCCAACCCCTGATCGACAGACAGTCTCAATACAGAACCTGCAAACAAGACGGAACCTACTTCTTACATGGTAGGCATCAACCAACAACCGAAAGGAAACTTGCCAATCCTCAGGCAGAAGCAGGCAGGCACTCCAGTGGCACATTGCCACCACAACGCCCAGCACCCGAAGAAGAGAGATACACTGGATCAAGAAGATCGAGCCGATCTTTGCTTCAATCCTGTCCTGGGTTGGCGTAAAGACCTTCAACAAGGCAGCAGGTACCGTATCAAAGAAACAAAAAATCCGAACTAGATCCTAGATTTCGTCCCAGCTGCCCAAATCACCGCCAACTTGGCCAAGCGAAGCATCCGCATCAGGCGCAGTAGCCGGATAAACTTAACCATCTTCGTTAATCGTGTCACGGATGACGAGGACTCGTTTGTAAACATGGCCTCAGAAATCTGTGCCCATGGGACGGTGCTCCCGAAATCAATTGCGAACCAGCCCCGGAGGTAGAGCTTTGCGATTTGGCATCTGTTTGTCTCAAGTGTACCCGGAGGCTGCTGCGGAGCAGCACATGCCGTGTTGAACGTGGTGACGATGTCAACGGCAAAAACCAAAGTGGTAATCCACAGCCATGCTGCGTCAAAATCGTCGGTTCCGGAACTCGCATTTTCCTTGAAGGTAAGCTGGAAAGGCAGGATCATGGCATCCATCAGCACCAAAAACATTACGAAAAAGTCCCAAGAGAGCTTGCCGAGCCAATCTGGGTTCACCAACCCATCCACAAATATCTGCACCTCTGGCTTCTTAAACGATTCATCCAGGGACCTCCGAATGTTTCGGAGGTTCTCGGACGAAGAGCCGTCAACTAGATCGGACACCTGGAGGCCTACCTTCTCTTCACTGATCACGGCCATCATGGGCATGTTGCTGCTCTTCTGCACAAACGCCATATTTCCTTTGGGCGCTGGCAAAGCCAGCGTGTCCGATGATTCTGGCTTGCTGAGCTGGGTCTTACTTGCAATCGGCACATCAAAGCATGGACTTAGGTTGCACGATTCGACCTCATCTTTGCAAAGACCGCTCTGGCTGCTCTCCGCTATGCGGTGGAGTAACCCGATCTGCAGCTCAATGATGTGGGAAAACTCCTGCACCCATGCGGACATGTGATGCGTGGCTTCACGCTCCCTAGGAATCGGGAAGTCGATGTCGCCTTCCCCATCCATGTGTTCGCCCACCCTCTCAAGTGATGGTTGACGCACAGGTCTCGAGCCAGAAACAGGTCCACCCGGGCATAGTTGCCCCGTGCTCAAGCTCTTAGCAAATTTCACCACAAGTTAGCAGACAATCGAGATGCACCTGCAGTCTGTTGCTCGGCAAGTCTTCATCTAGCACGAGCCAGGCTTGTGTGTACACGCCTACACACCATCAATTCCAACAGTGTTCAACATCCAAGTGAATGCTCTGAGTTGCTGATCGTTAAAGCCCTTTCTCTCCATTGAATTCCTGATGAAGGCATCGCATGATGCAGAATGACCCAGAAGCTTACGGCCAGGAAGCATCCGAAGAGATGCAATGCTCATCGGCTCCTGCACGTTGGGTGCAACTCTTTCAGTTTGTCGAGTTCGGCTTGTCGGACTCAGAAGTCGCACGCGCGCGTGTGCCAATGTGGCTATGCCTGCATGGACCAGGCTCACCATGACAGCATTGTCTGCCCACTTGCCAACTTGTTCATATACTATGCCATACCAAATCCTGTCAACCCTGCTTGCTTCACTTGCACACGCCCCTATCGAACCCCTTCCACTTTTCGGTGGCTCCCAACCACTTCGCGCCCGTCGTTCTTCGCAATGACATGAAAAACAAGTGCGAAGGCTTGGGGGCCCAAAATGCAATGGGAAATGGCTCGGAAACCCCACACGACAGCGAAAAGTGGCAACTTCGGAGCCCAGATTAGGCCTGGGAAGCCTACGAGAATGGACACAGCAATACAGGGCTTGACAGACCTTCTAAACTTGGAAAATGCAAACGGTTGGTACATAACATGGCCAGCAAGATCTAATCTGGATAGCACACTTGAACCGAAGAACTAACTAAGTGCCAAGAAACGCTATTTTGCAGTAAACCTATCAAGGCTTTGCTGCCCTTCCCCCCTGGCCAAAATCGAATCCCCGACCTGGGTAGCCACCGTGGTTGGGCCGACCCCCGGCCGCTAGCATGATGTAGTTGGCAGTGACCGTCTCAACTCCTCCCTGGCCTTGTTGTGCAGGAGAAATGGCTTCTTATGGTGGTTCTTTTGAAGGTATGGGTGGCTCGGTGTAGCGAGGGCCCACTCTCTGTATGTTTTGTCGCCCCGGCAGCTTGTGGCACTGCTTCAATGACCAGGAGCAACTCCGATACATCCAAACACAATCACAAACTCTAAGGAGCCACGACATGTTGCAAAGCCCCTGAACCCAAAGCACGACTTACGCAGCCAGGTCCAAAGACAATTGTGACATGGTCCCAGACTGCAAGGTTTGGGTTAGTGAGCTGCTTGGTGAGGGAGTTATTGCCTGTCTCAAGCTTCATCCGAGGCAGCTCCTTCCTCTGAACCGATCTGGTGAGCACTGGCCATAAGGCAAGGACCGTCGTCCAGCTGAATCGTATGACGGTCCTGCCGCCGGGCAGAAGACCACCGAGTTCCAGAAGATGGCCAAAGCGCGCGCCATATCCGTCGAAGATGTGGTGGCAGAAATCGTGGCACCCTACACAGTAACACTCCGCGAAGCAAAGCCCTGAAGCCCTAAAATGAAGCTTCCGATCTTTCCCGCACTCGAACAGCGTCCCATCAACTCCTTCAGGGTGGCATACTTGTTGTAGTACTTGATGCCATTGGCTTCGAAGCCATCCAGCATACCCTGCAACGAGCGTCCGGCGGAGCCCGAGATCAAAATATGCTGTCATCTTTGCTTGTCTTGCGAGGGAACTCTACACACTTTGTATTGTCCAGATCCTGCTGACAGCAGGGTTCGGCAGGGTATTCTCTCAGTAGCATGGGCTTAGCTCTAATCTGGAATCTCTGTGGTTGAGCTAGGACTGGTGGATTGAGGTTTTCTTGGTGCCGCTTGCAGTCAGAACTCTTCTTGCGATAGATATGCCAAGCGTGGGTGTGACGACGGCATGTTCTACAGCTGGCAGTACAGCACTTACGAAGTCCACAGGAACTCGCAAGCATGCATCATGTCGGCAAGGGTGTTCGAGCATGCTGGCCTGGTTCAGGGACTCTTTGATGTAGCCTCCCGAGACCAGAAGCCCAGCAAACGCGCATCAGCTTCAGAACCCCTTGCTGCAGCAAGTGGACGAAGACTTTGTTGCAGATTTCGAGCGACAGCCTTCCGGCCAGAAGGCCTCCGTCCCCTTCTCCTACACTGGTCCTACAGCAAGGGAGGGTCATTTCCCAG